CATGGTACACCCTGGACAGGACACCAGTCCATCACAGGACACACACTAACACACACACACCAGGACCAATTTTCTCAGAAGTCAATTAACCTGCAAGTATGTCTTTGGACTGTGGAAGGAAACTGGAAATAAGATAAACAAACTTACATTGAAATACTGCATATTAGTCATGTGATTTCACACTTATGTTCAATTTTCACTGCAATATACCCAAAGTATCCTATATAGATTAAAATGTTTAATTACTTGCCAAGGACTTCCATGTTCCATGACAGTTTATTAATCTCATTGTTTCACGGCGTTAAGGAATGACCTCCACAACAGCATATTAACAAAACACAGTTTCTCTCACAACAACAGATTTGGACTGAAGGAAAAAAAAACTGAGTGTAGATTCCAAGTTGCCTTAAAAAGTAATAGAGGCAACTGGCACATCAGATGACAAGAATAACATTTCAAAGGTTTTTAAATGAACCCAGTCCTTCCCAGGGAAACAATAAAATGACATCATGTAATAATTTTATGAAGTGAGCACATCTTTTCAGCTTATATTTTGACTAAAGCATTATAATTTGCTGAAAATCACAGCATGGAGCAAACAGAAATGATTAAGCCAAAATGCTGTTTAATCACAAAGTGCTGCTGGGCTCATGCTTTGCCATCACCAGACTGCTTACAGCTAAAAGAAACTGCCCCTGTCTCCATTATTTGGAAGACCGATCTACGGCCCAATCTGGATTATTTAAAATTAAATCAAGGCAGTCTCCTTGGGAGACGCTGATCTATGGTTTAGAAAACCACTTTTAAATACTCTACCAAAACCATTCAATGAAGTGAGACAAAGAAGCCACTCATAGCCAGGGTTGCTTAACAAGGACATTTAAAATGAAACAAGCCCTTGAGTCAACTTAAATCTGCAAGGCACAGGAGTCGAATAGCAATGTAAGTGACTGCCAAGGTCTTACTGTTGTTCTTACCAATAGAAACAGGGTTAAAAAATTCAGAATTAGGAAATGGATATTATGGTTATTTTCTTAATAACATACAGTGCCTTACAAAAATATTCAGAATCTTGCACAGTTTTCACTTAGTTTTTACTTTAAAGATTGCAATTAGAATACTTAAAAGTACCAATTAATATTTGTTACTATATATGCAAAACCTATTCTACACATTCAAAGCATAAAAACAACCAGGAACAAGTAAATAGACAATATGAAAGAAAAACTGAAAAGTCATGATTGCGTAAGCATTCAAACCTCTTGCTGTGGTAACCTTTAGTGTAGCTGCACAAAATTACCTAGACTAGCCCCACAATTGAGTAGCCTCTGCCTGTGTGCAACTCATAATTTCAGAATAATCATGGTTGTCATTATTTCAGAATTAAAACGCCATGCTACAGTCAAACATGCCAATGACAACATCATGCAAAGGGGATGCATCTCCTCAGCAGGGACTGAAAAGGAAACAATCTCTGTGAGTTTCCTTATTTAAGAGTTTTCAAAGCCTGTCAGTCAGAGCCAATGAAAATCACAGAACAGCATAAGGGTACAAAGTATATCAGTCAAAGAATATCCCTGTGAGCACAGTCTACTCAATTGTCAAGAATGGGATGGTGTATCTAATTACTGTCTGGATGAAACCATTCCTCCAAAACCATTCCTCCAAACTGGGCAACCAGGCAAGGAGGAAACTGGTGACGGATGCCAATGTAGGACCACCAGCAGCCTTGAAAGTGCTACAGAGTTCAGTGGTTGAAATGGGAGAAACATTGCATGTGTCAACAATTTCTAGAACACAAATAAGCCATCTCAAATCCGGCATGGAATTTGCACCAAAGCCCCTGAATTTTCCTTTGAACACATGACAAAATGTATTGTAGTCAGATGAGACCAAATTGGTCTAAATGTCAAGTGTTATGTCTGGCACAGACCCAACACAGCACAACTCCCAGTTAAAACCATCCCCCGTCAGGCATTCCGGTGGCAACACCACCTTAAGGGGACGTTTCCCATCAGCAGGGACAGGTAATGAGACTGACTGAAGGAAAAATGACTAAACCAAGTATACATAAACACTCAGAAAAAAAAGAGTGATCTACAACCAAGACAGAAGAGCTTGAGCAAAAACCCTAAGAAGCAAAGTTGCAAAAATTACAACAAGCCAGTGAGCAAAGTCTCACCCAAAAAAACTTGTGCCTGTAATTGCTGCCAAAGATGCTTCCACCAAATACTGAGTTCATAGGTCTAAATATTTATGCAGCCAACTTAGTGTATTTCAGTTTTTTCTCCTTAGTGTTTGCTGACATTTACGGTAACTTATCTTACCCTTAAAAGTCTTGTATGCATCATTTCATGATTTTACATATGGGACAGCATATTAAAGATCTGAATACTTGAAGGCACTGAATGTTGAAAAATAGGATTTATACCACCCAAAAGTACACTATAATTTGGCATGTTTAACAAAATGCTGTGTTGTCTCAAATTCCAGGACGTACTGATTTTTCAAATGCTCAGTACCTATCACATTGTCTTTACATCTATCCACCCATTTTCTAACTGCTTCATCCAATTCAGGTCACAACCTTTACATACAATACACACCGTCTTTACAATAAAATATGACTACAGCATACTTCTGTCTGGCCAATGATTATGCACATGGCAAACTTCAAATGTAGAAACATACCCCCAAAAATATTATTTATATGTCTTAAATAGGTATTGTATTTAGATTCTCCTTTTTAACACTTTTCTCTACAGTATACGGGATATTTAGTGCTGACTACAAGAAATATGGATAAAAATTAACTCAATTTAGTATTAAACTAGGATTAGCTCATTTAGATTTAGATTTTCTTGAGGTCAACACTTGTTATTTCACATCCTTCTCTCCTCTGCATAACCACCCTTCCAGCGGCTCAATTGCTCATTCTCCATAGCGAGAGTTCTAACAGCCTTGTCCTCAGTGCCTGGCCATCATTCTCTATCAAACTGTTCACCTTCTAATGCACTGAATATCACTGTGTTAGTCCAGACCTACTGAAATCACTGTTACTGTACATTGCACCACTAAAACGTAAACTAGGATATTTAGGATATAAAAATATTTAATCTTAGAAACAAGAATTAAATATAAAATCTGTTTCAAAATCCAGTGGAATGTGATTAAAAGATAAACATTCATCAAATATGGATAAGTGGTTAATCCTTGTTGGCGCAATCGGCCTTTGAAAAATAATACCCGAAGCAGTTTTACTTCTACTTTGACTCCTTTAATAATTTTATTAATTTTATATCTATCATTCTAGTTTGTCATAGAAATTAAAGAGTCACACGACGCCATGGCCAAAAGCACTTTTACATTTTATCTTAGTAAAAAGGCTCTTGGAGAAGACCAACAGGTGGAAAGATTCTGGGAGCAAAGCAATGCTCGGCCCATATCCTCAGCCCATGGCCTTGGGAAGGTGACATCATCTGACTGTCCTCATTCATCTACGTCAGCAGCCTGAAACATGTCTTAAGAGGAAACACAATGTCTATGCGCAGTCTGGCTATTGTGCTAACATCATAAAAAAACAATCTGTTTAGCAAGTGAATAGACAGAATAGCCCCTGGACAATGCACATTCAGAACATAATGTGTTAATGCTTGGTTGATTGTACTGTGCAGTTTGGATCTGCAGTGCATAAAACTGCACTGGAATTATTGCTGGGATTTCCTGTACCATTCAGCGAATGCTCTGCATCTATTTAATTACACAAAACCTATGGATTATGCTTGAAAACAGTCCATAAAACTACCAAATGCAAATGTGCCAAATCATTTAGGTAGCTGTGAATTTCTGACATGGGTCTAACGCTTACATTAAGATGTGCATCTGCCATTATTTCTTTGACTACACATTCTTTTAGCATTTTTAATAATTGGTACATTTTGTAATTAATACAACATGTGGTAACAGTAAAATTACATAATACAAAGTAATTCCTACTCTTTCATTACCTTTACATTTCAAAGAACCGATTACCTGCTATACATAAAAAGTGCATAGAAATAGAAGCACGTGAAAAGAGATCCAGACATATTGATTTTTATTGATTAATCAACTGTAAGCCTTTGAACTTGTTTGTGCTAATTTGTTATGGTATTTCTAACTCAGGTACTTTCTTAAAAGACCAATTTAACAGTCGTCCTGTTGAGCATTCTCAGTGGAACAGAATTAATGAATGTTTGAGGACAAAACAAAAGTATCACTGTAGTTGTTTAACTGAAAAATGTCTTTTATATTTATAGCTTTTTTTTCCAAACTTGATTTGTAGTGCCAAAGAGAAGCACCAAGATTGCTCTTCTTTATTTTTAGCCTGAATACAGCCAGCATGTAATTTATCGCAAAGAACTATGATTGCCTTTGCAGACACTATAGCTTCCTGTGGCTGTTTAGGTCCTAAGAAAGAGAGCATCCCCTGATGAAAAGGATTGCGTACAAAGGAGACCTGGGAGCTATACAGATCACTCCCATCAAAAGGAAGGGAAATTTAATTTTTTAAACTGCAATTTATACCCACTTTAGTAGTGAAGGACATCAGTTTTGCCAAACCATATGTACATAATGACAGTTTATTTCGACTGGAACAGACAACAGTCATAGCAATAAAACAGCAAATACTTGCTCAAAATATGTTATCATTTAAAACGACCCCCCAGAAATCTGAAAATGAACAGGCAACTTTCTTATAATCCTTGACAGAATCACTGAAAGATAGTTTATATCCATCTTTAAATGGATACACTTAAAGAGTAGTTCATTTCTATACATTTAACATTGAACGAAAAAGACTTTTGTTTCCAGATTCTTTACAGATGACAGCATCAACTAAAGTTCTGGCACAAGTGCAGTGAACATTTATTAAACTAAAATGTCAGGCTTTAAGAAGAAAGTTATTGTGCCGTCAAATAGTCAAAACAAGAAAAAAATGCTAACATGTTTTGTTTTACCTTGCTTTGAAGATCTCCGTCGAATCCTCATTTTGGGAAAGGAAGGCCAAGAGTAATTAAATGGAGAATCCGAGTCGGAATCCATTTCTTTTTCTGATGTGTTTCAAACAAACACATCAGTGAGAGCAGTCAGCTGAAACATGATAGAATGCCAAACTCTGCTGTGTTCAGAGGTGTCCCTACTCCAGGCGTGATTTACAGTAAGGAAACAGCAATGCTGGGATCATACTGCTTAATAATCCAGGGAGGGAATTACACTAAAACACACAGGGCTATCCAAGCAATCAGACACGCACATCGCTGGGGCAAGACAGCCAGACGACAGTCCTCAAAACGGCAGGAAACAAAAGAAACTGAACCGCAGAGCTGCTTCACTGTTGAGAAGAATTTGGAAGGTCAGCTTGAGCCAATGAATCATTAACTCACCTTTTCATTTCTATGCAAATCAAACTGCTGAGACCAAGCTATCAAGAGTGAGGAGAAGGTTACTCCACAGAGGAACAAGAAAAAAAAAGACAAACCAAAGCCTGTACAGTAGGTACAGAATGTTAATTAGGGCTCACCAACAAGACAGTTACAGCACCCATGGGTGTACCTGGGGGTGAACATGGGTAAAAAAAAACACGTACTCCTTGGTTTATCCTTCACAATGCTGGTAAAACGTTTTCCGTGCACACTGACAAATCTCGGAGGGCCTCAGGGAGAGATGCTGAGCTTTAATTCCATCGATCCCTTCACTTTATGTTCTCCTTCAGCCAGCAAATTAAACACCTAGTCCAATCTGGCAGCCGAGACGGTATGACCTTCTTGAGAAATGTGAAACCCTGCATTGTCCACATACTTACATCTCTGAGCACACTGAAGAGGAAAAATAAAAAGAGGTACTACATGGACTGCTTGCAGGTTCCTTTAAGGAGCTCTTTGGAGCTCTTGGGAGTTCTGTGCTGCTAAATAAATCTGATTTGCCAATTTTCTATGGTCCCTAGATCATCCACAATGTCAGAAACTCCGGTACGTTCCTTCTTTTAGCTGTGCATATGTCTGGCACCTTTACAAGGCTAGGGTAACCTCTCAACTCAGCACAACAGAACTAGTGACTGTTTTACAACAAATCTTCCATTCTTACACAGTCTCCCCGAACAACTCACTGGCAATTAGCATTCAGCCTGGCCTTGGCAGCCCCTCCCCCCATCATCTTCCGAGCACACAAAACTTCTTTCTTCGAGTACCCGTGTGTGCTCGCTGCAGACACAGCACCGAAAGAGCATGCTTACTGTTTGTTCGCTAAACTCACATTAAACTTTTCTGTTGGCCTCCCTTCGCAATGTGATGTGTGTCTTTGCTGGCTGGGGTGGGATAGGATGGGGGGGGGTCGGCAGTAAGCGAGAGAAAACACAGAGACATAAGGGGAGGGAGTTAGAAAGAGAGAGAGAGACAAGAGCCCAAGTGTAGCTCATCTTAAATGTCAGCTTTGGTAAGACTATGACATTTGAGCTTGTTAACATTCCTCACTTCATTTCAATTACTGTTCAAACAGATGAAGCCTAGAGTAGCTCCTCAGTACAGTATATGAAATCATTTCTAGGGTTTTTTTTTAATTATTTATTCCTGACAGTGCAGATTCTTATACTGTAGCTCTAGCTGATGGGTCATACTGAGGACATAGAATAGAAGCAAAAAAAAAAAACTCCAGGTTTAAACTGAAGAAAAACAATGCTATGAATAAAAGTTTTTAATCGCTAGCTTCCCCATACAGCACAAAATTGCTTATATGGCAAATAATTTTTAATTTTAATTCTCTTTGTTTCATTGTAAATCAGAACTGTCCTTTATGATCCATTTTTCAGTTCATCATTCTCCTGTTAACATATTTTCCTGAACATTAATTTTTCACTGTATTTAAAAAATGGACTAACTGAATTAACTAAACTAATGGATATGACACCTGTATACAGTAAATACTGTAAAAGTCTATCATATTAAATTAACTTAATAATCTGTGTAGCCCCTCCATAAACTAAAATATTATTACTTCAATATTGGTAACCTTGTTTGATTACAGCAAAACAGGACAGTTATTTTGCAAAGATGCCACATTCCCTTGGTTGAAGAAGGGAATGTGAAGAACTAAAATGTATTTGCATATGACATAGAAGAAGATTGCTTTGTAATAATTTCTTGAAAAACCACAGACACTTAGAAAATAACTGTAGTTAGCTTCTCAACACATGAAATAAACATGTACTGTATGATGAAAAGCAAACTGGATCATACAAATGATCAATCTAAATTCTCACCAACTGTTTCAAGGGAGAAGAAAAAAAAATATGGACAGCTGCTGGACTTAATGCTTACTATTAATAAATTTGACTGACACCTCTATCCACAACTACTTCTATTTGTACCCATTTATACAGCTGGGAGTGTCACTGAACTGAGTGGAGTGAAGTACCTTGCCCAAGGGTGTAACAGCAGTGTGCCACCTGACATCTGAACACACACCCTTCCACCACTCCACACTGCTGACAATACAAGTTCAAACAACCCAGACATCAATATACTGTAGAGCTTTCCATGGAAAACATTAGTATTTCAAGTTCTCCATTAAAGACCCCACAGCTATAAACTGAAGAGTCTCTTTAAACACAGTTAAAGGCAAATTTATTACCAGTAGGTAAAGCTTTTGTTTTTCGGCTTTAACCCTTTATGGCTTCTCGGTAGAAAAAGTTCCAAGAATTTGGGCTTCAAATAGGAGAAAGGGAAGATTTTAAGTGAGCAATGACATTAACCTCAGAATCAAGTTGGCACATCTCCCAGAGAGCAAAATGTAAAAAGAGGCTCATAATGGATGAGCACTTTTAATTTTGCACCAAAAACACAAAATCAGGCCCTGAAAGGTTAAGATACAGCTACACATTTTAAATAGAAAGTGAGCATATAGTTAAATTACCAGCGAAAGAGACTGTTTGTGTTTGAATTAGTTTTCCATCTGGTGAAGACCCCCAGGGGGGAACACAGCTTTAGCTGTAAAAATTCTCCACCAGCAGAGGTGCCTAAGAGGGTATCTGTCAACTCTATGAGAAATTTAACATTCACTATACAGCTATACCAATCTGCTTAAATGGAGGCCATGACTAACTTTTTCAGTCCTGTATTAACACCTTATCATGCAAACATCTTCCAAACCTCACAAGTAAACAGGATATTAACTCAAACACTGTATTTCAGGAAGCTTAAATGTGGAAAGTAACATGGATGCTGACAACTTATAAGCTTTTATCTTTTCTTGCTTTCTCCTAATGGTGTTATAGATTATGATTTTAATTGTAAAGCAGATTTCAACTTATCACATTAAAATCAGTTATAATTGTCACCATTGTTTCAGTATGACAGACACCAGCCAAGAAAATAGATTTAAATGTTACACAAAATGGGCAATGGCCCAAAGGCAGCAATATGTATATTTTAATATGATCATATTTACTTGCAATAACCCAAAAAATTTTCAGGCCAAGAGATGTCCTAATGGAGAATTTCAGAGACAAAATGATGCCTTGTCAAATTGCAAGATTTGAGAAACTATTGTTAGTATCGATTCAGAAAAACTCCAATTTGGATGCAAAAAAGGCAGAGCATTTATTGATAAGATGTAAATTTGAGGATTGCCTTCCTGGCCAAGGGAAGAGGTCAAAATGATTGAAGTAGCCCCAACACACACATACACTAATGCAGAAAACATGACAACACACTTGATACTTGGAACATAATTAGCAAAGCAGAGTAAGAAGACTGATACTAGATCAAATTTATGCCCAACAAGAAAAACAACAATAATCCGATTGTGACCAAGGCATAATGATATTAAACATAGTAAGGACTGAATCCCCTCACAGCAAAGCAGGTGGTAAAAGAGATGGTAAATGTTTGACTACAGAAAATATGTATTACAAAGATAAAAACACCCTGCATGAAAAGAGAATTGTGTCTTTTGAAGATAGGAGACAAAAAGAGAGGGTAGGTGGGATGGAAAGAACATAAGTTGAATGAAACCTTACTTTCCTTGCTTACTTTTGGTTTATGAAAAAGTTCTTCCAAAGGCCTAATGTACATTGTCGCCAGGCTGTATTTTTATATAAGCAACTTAAGCAAAAGAAAAAATAGGAATTATAGTCACAAGATGTACATTTTTGTTGTTCTTTTATAATTCTTCATTTTAATTACCTTCATTACTCTTTATTGTCACAATAAGAAACATAATAAGAAAGTCACTTAACAAGCTTAGCTTTAGTTTCAGCCACATATTGTCTCAAATGGGAATATTGTATTTTGAAAACAATGTAACAAGTCTGTTTTATTCCCTTTGTTCTGGTATACTGTAGCAACCCTAAAAATGATTAAATTCAGTAAAAGCTAACATAAGACTGTTTCAATTAAATCACACATATAGCAGCTCCATGGCTTCAGAATATGATCCTAAGGAAACAGTTTTTTATTGAGGCTAAAGTCATTAAAAAACAAAGACAGAAAAACTGTTAAAAATAAAAATAGCTAAAACAGAAAGACTCGCTTCTGCAACAAAATATTACACTAGCATATGGCATTTACCAAGAGTACAACTTTCTCCAGACTGAACTTGCAACCACAGCATTCCAACATCAAGGAATGAATCTCCCCGAGCTACTGTCGTTAAATAATTAACAAGCAGATGTTCCAATTGTGTTACAGCACTCCCCACGTCCCAAAATAAAATGAGAAAATATATAGTACACAGTTCTAAAACAGTTTGTTTCGAACTCTTACATTTTTAAAAATTAAAGCAGGCATTATGTTATTATACGGAACAGATATTACACCTGTGTAGGGCTCTGCATTAAAACACAGCCAAAGTCAAGATCATTGGTGCCTCATAACCTTTTGACACAGCTGTTATATACAGATTTCCAAATATTACTCTTCTAGCTATTTTTCAAATTCAATGAATCACTTAAAGAAGAGAGAAACTGCTAACACTGCCTAAACCAATACTTATAATACAAATAAGATAATAAATCACATTGAAAAGTTCAATGTTTCTGATTCCCAGTGACAGGAACAGTACTGAAAGCAAGGCATAAACTGAAATCAGATGGCAGCCACTCTTATTTGGAAGTTAACAAGCCATTAACAGGTTCTCCCTTGATTTGAATGATTTCTATCAGTTTAAAATTAACGAGCTGCCAATTGTTTAATTCCTCTTGATCAATGAGGCCTAGCGAGATGAAAGTTTTCTTAAATAATACAGCAAATGAGGAAAAAATGCACTTTAAATTCTTTAAATTAGATGTGACAACAACATTTTTGCCCTCCAATGAGACACAGATGTGTGTTTTCTACTTATGGTTTCTACTTTTCTACTTAAGTTTTCAATTAAGTATTATTTTATGATAAATATATATAAATATCCTTTAAGTAGATTCTTGAAAGAAAATTACATAAAAGTTGAAGACAATGCCAAATACAAAGGGTTGTGTAACTCATTGTTTTGGCAACCTCAACGAGATTAAATTACTAAATCAAAGCATCTGTTTCATTTTTTTCATTTTCTTTTTTTCCAAGCAGGCTGGGACCTCAAGTTAAACTAAATTATGTAGTTCTAGGCACAATGCAAACAACGCAAAACATCTCAACATCTTAACACTCTTAAATGACACTGAAAGCATCAAAATAATTAATCATGCAGTTCACCTAGATTAAATGAAAACAAGATGTTTATGCTCCCCTTAAGCATTATATGGTGGTAGTAGTATATGGCTGAAATCATTTGTTCAGCAAAAAAGTATGAAGGCTTACACTCTGTATTTCCAAGTGTTATACCTAACCATGAAAAGATTTTTAATGAGCCAAGCAACACTTGATAGAATGTACTGAATGAGAGAACTAGGTTCCTGTTTTAACAAGCTCAATGCAGTAGGTATGTTAAGAAATGTATTTTTGCTTAAACAGAAAAAGCCCATTGCAAGTCTTAAATTCATGGTTATTTTAATGAAGACTATAGAACCACAGACCATGTCTACAAACAGAATTGAACCTGTCAGTCTTTCTGCAAATGAGATTTTTTTTTCTTTTGGAACACAAATAGCACATCATCTGAAAGCAGAACACGAAGTCTCATCATGTCCAGACCCTGGTGTGACCTTTTTAAGGTTTTATTCAGTAGGTTCTACGATGCAATCAATCTTATTTAAAGGCCAGAACATTTTGAACCAGCCAAAAGGCTCACAAAGAGAATAATTAAAACTTAAAAGCAAATTATTTTTGAGCATTTTTTCCCAAACAAATTATGAGTGCCAGAACAAGATCAATAAAATAAAAAAATAAGATCCAGTTTCCTGCTAGGTATGCTTTTAAACAGAGCAATAGATTACTGATTAATGTACT